CAGCTGCTTAACCCCAGTGCTTTGTGATATTTTGCCTGACAACACACAAACTTTCCTTAAAATCAAAGAAAAAATTTTCTAAAAGTCAACCTTTTTCTTACTGGTCCTAAGAAATAACTTCACTCTATAAAATAAGTCATACACTAGGCAGAGACATTACTTTTCATAGAGGCCACCTGCTTCATTGCCTGGAACTGTCTCACCAACGATTGGTAGAATACAGTATTGGTAAAATAAAAGGTATTAGTGACTCTAAGTTTAAATATAACGAGAACAGAAAACTTTGTTTCTTTGAATTCTTTCAGTTTTACAAAGTTGAGTTTGAGGGATTAAATTAGAGTTGTAAAATGTGTCTTACAGTGCTAGTTTATAACAGATACTTGACAGTTTTTTTTTTTTTTTTTTAGTAAGCGTAGCAGACACACTGACAGTTTTGTCCATTTCATTTCTAAGATGATAAGTTCAACTAGGTTCCTTCTAATCTAAATTCTATAATCCTTCCTTTCCTTCTAACTCTTTCTCTAAGTACTTTATTGTCCATACAATTTATATTATCTCATATTGGTCCTTAATTTCTAATGTTGTGTCCCTAGCAGTGTTATACATTCCCTTGAGGGTGGGAACCATATCTTTATCTCAGTGCTGTGTGATATTGTAGCTCAGAATTGTTTTCTGAAAGAATGCATGAACTGAAGCTAAAACTCAGGGTGTGGTATGGAGCTATCTTGGAGGTGTAGAGTGGCGGAAATTTTACAAAAAGCCCAGGAGTTTGAGGTTGCTGTGAGCTAGGCTGACGCCACGGCACTCACTCTAGCCTGGGCAACAAAGTGAGACTCTGTCTCAAAAAAAAAAATGAGAGTTTTGTGTGTGTGGTCATGATTAATTTTTAGGTTTTGGTGGAATCTTAGATATTCCCTAGTTCCCTTTATCCCTTTCCCTTTTTTATAAATGAAGAAACAAGTCCAAATGGTTGAGTGGCTTGCCCAAGTTACTAGAGCTGGTTAGTGACGCAACCAGGACTACAGCCCAGGACTTTGGGCTCCTCAAGCAAGTATTCATCCTGCTAAAGTAAATAATACTCTTAAGAAAGTACAGATTGTTGGGAGGAACAAAACTAGTTCATTTAGTTGCATAATTTTTTACTGTTAAAGATTTTTCTTTGGTATTCTTGACTCAAAAGAATCCAACTTTGTGGTATTTTAAAAAAATCAAGATCAAAATTAATAGATGGAACACCTTAAAGCATAATACAGTTGACTTCGTAATTAGCAGAGTTGAAAGTGATGAGAAGATCCTTTAATTTTCTTTGTACCTGCAGGAAGGTGGGAGTCAATCATTTTGACAAGTCTCCTGAAAGAACAGCTAGCAGGAGCTGAAATCTTTTTCCACTTGGTCTCGTGGCAAAGGCAGAGATTGCTCCAGCAGCTTCACACAGTATGGAAGACAATTATTTATCTTTTATTCTTGAATTTTTTTTAATTTCGAAAGTAATACATATTTATTTTTTTAAAGTGTAAACTGCGAGCGTCCAAATATTTTACATAGTATATTTGTTTTGTTTGTATGTTATAGATATCATTCCATGATAGTACATACAGATCTTCTTCATTGTGTTTTTAAATAGTTGAAAAATACTCCAGAGCATAAATATACCATGATTTTAATGAACAGTTTTTTGGGTGGGAGAGTATTTAGGTTGCCTCCACTATTTGGCTACTTTGAATAACACTGCTTTGAACATCCTTATATAAGTATCCCTCTTGCTCAGGCTGGTCTCGAACTCCGGAGCTCAAGCAATCTTCCTGCCTCAGCCTCCCAAAGCACTTGGAGTACAGGCGGGAGCCACCATACCTGGCTCCTGTCATCTTAATTATTGCCATTTTGGGCAGGGTGCGGTGGCTCCTGCTTGTACTCCAAGTGCTTTGGGAGGCTGAGGCGGGAGGATTGCTTGAGCTCTGGAGCTGGAGACCATCCTGAGCAAAGTGAGACCCCATCTCTACAAAAAGTAGAAAAATTAGCCGGATGTAGTGGTGGTCACTTGTAGTCTCAGCTACTTGGGAAGCTGAGGCAGGAGGATCACTTGATCCCAGGACTTTGAGGTTGCTGTGAGCTATGATGATGCTACTGCACTCTAGCCTGGGCAACAGAGCTAGACCCTGTCTTAAAAAATAAACAAAATAAATTATTACCATTTTGATATGGGAAAAGTATCTGATTGTTCTAATATGTATATCCATGGTTTGGGTAAGGTTAAATATCTTAAAATTATTTCTCATGTTATGAGTCACAGTGCAAAGATTTTGAAATATTAGGATACCACCCCTATAAACAGCAGATTAGAATTGATATAGGGGTATTAACTATTCCTCAGTGAAACTGCCTCTTATTTCTCTAGATATGATGTGCTCACTAGTGCCCTCTGGACAGTCTTCTGGTACCTCTCTCATACCTAAAGACAATGCCCCGTTTTCCTGGGGTTCCTTGGATGAGGATGAATTGGATGACTCTTTGCTGGAGCTGTCTGATGGAGAAGAAGATGATGGCCATTACAGTTACACAGAGGAAGAGATTGAGGAGCTCTTAAAGATTGATGAGCCATCAGATGACCATTCTTCTTGGGAAGGAGAGTTGCGTAAAGATGACAGCGGGCATGTTGAAAAGGAAGAAACAGAGAGTCAAATTCTACTTGATACTCCCCAAGAGAAAAATTCATTATGCAGCTTAGGACCAGTAGCAGAGACCCCTGGCTTCTTTAAACTACCTCAACTAAGTACATCAGTTGGTCATGGACCAGCTCCCACTAAACCATTAAACAGATGCTCTGCACTAGAAAAGAATTTTATAAAAGCAACTGTTGCACCATTTAATCCAACAGTCTGTGATGTTGTGCTTGATAAGGACAAAACTGATTCATCCAAAGATACTGAAAAATCCTCCTTCCTTGGGGAAGAGTTGAGAGAAGATGGTCTTATCCTGAATGAGAGCAAACTTTGCACTGAATCTGAAGGGATCAGCCCCAATAACTCTGCTTGGAATAGGCTACCATACTCTTCTCCTTCAAACAATAAATTTCAGCAAACTGTCTCTGATAAAGATATGCCTGACAGCCAGAAATCTACACCTACGTTTTCTCAGATCTCAGACCATTCAGAAACTCCTAATATGGGGTCATCCTGGAGAAATGGTGGATCACATAAATCAAATTGTGAAATGAAGTTTCCCGTTGTTTCTAGTTCATCAAACAAAGTAAGTATTTTTTTTATGGTGAAGTGAAAAATGAAATTATTTTCACTCAGAAGCTATATAGTAGAGTTTCCATATGTTCCCTGTCCCCACACAGGCACAGCCTCCCCAGCTATGGACATCCTGTACCGCAGTGGTATGTTTATTACAATATAGCAGAGCTTTGTATTCAAATTGGGATTTGAATCCTGATAGCACTGTGATCCTGAATCAATTATTTAGCCTCTATGTTCCCCCATAGTTCTTTTAACAGTTATAGTTGCTGTCTCATTTAAAGCACTACCAGAAGTATCTGATACACAGTAGTGCTCAAGTACATGCCTTTGTAGACTCTAGTTTAAAAATATTTCCATAAATAAAAAAAAATTCCATAAATAATGTTCTCAATGGTTTTCATACAACTAAGAGCCATCTTTCCTTTTGCATTCCTTCCACTCTGAAAAAAAGCAGGATGTTCTTGACAAGGATTCTGGGAAGATGAAAGGCCATGAGAGAAGACTAGGCAAAGTCTTTCCTGTTCCACAGACCAAAACCAGGTAACATAACAATATAATTATATATTCTGGTTTCTGTTGGTTTTCTTCAATCTCTTTCTTCCTCTCCCCAGTTCCTCCTTAGTGTGGAAAACCTGCTCCAGGAATCAGCAAGCTTGAGGTACTGGCACTACCAGCTGTGTGACCTTGGGGAAATTAAATAATCTCTCACCTGTGGTCTTTTTGTTTTTGTTTTGTGTGTGTGTTTTTTTCTTTTTTTTTTTTTGAGACAGAGTCTTGCTCTGTTGCCTGGGCTAGAGTGCTGTGATGTCAGCCTAGCTCACAGCAACCTCAAACTCCTGGGCTCAAGCAATCCTGCCTCAGCCTCCTGAGTAACTGGGACTACAGGTATGCACTACCATGCCTGGCTAATTTTTTCTGTATATTTTTAGCTGTCCAATTAATTTCTTTATATTTTTAGTAGAGACTAGATCTCACTGTTGCTCACGCTGGCCCAGAACTCCTGAGCTCAAACGATCCACCCGCATTGGCCTCCCACAGTGCTAGGATTACAGGCGTGAGCCACTGCTCCCAGCCTTATTTTGTGTTTTTGAGGCAGGGTCTTGTTCTGTCACAGGGGCATTAGTATTAGCATCATCATAGCTCACTGCAACCTCAAACTCCTGGGCTCAAGTGATTCTTCTGCCTCAGCCTCTCAAGTTGCTGGGAGTACAGGCATGCGCCACCATACCTGTCTAATTTTTCTGTTTTTGTACAGACAAGGTCATGCTCTTGCTCAGGATGGTCTTGAACTCCTGGCCTGAAACTCCTGGCCCTCAAGCAGTCCTTCTGCCTTGGCCTCCCAGAGTTGCAAGGATTATAGGTGTGAGCCACTGTGCCTGGCTCACCTCAGTTTTTATGCATAAAATAAGGCTAGTGATGCCTTCTGGTGCCTCACAAGGTTATTTTGAAAATAAAACGGACATACTAATAAAAGTACTGAAAGTTAATGTATAAATGTAAAATTTCTCCTGTGTATGGGGAAACCTGTCCACATATATGATAGGAGGTTAGAATAATTTTAACAAAAATGTTAAAATATAACTGTGGAAAATAATTTAGCCATCTCTCTTAACTTGCATGCACCTATCCTCTGGGAAAAATTCTAGTAGGGGTTGTGGATTTGGGACATCTTTTCAATATATTCTCTTGTTGCCAGGAGATGGCAGTGTCTCTACATGGGCCTTTTCAATTGAATGTACTAGAAAAGGTGTTTTTTAGGTTGAATCAGATTGGCTCACTTACAGAGAGATTTAAAAAAAATTTTTTTTTTTTTTTTTTTTTAATGAGAGACAGAGTTTTTACTCTGGCACCCAGGCTGGAGCTTAGAGGTGTGATCATAGTTCACTGTACTCATAGGCTCAAGAAATCTTCCCCCTTCTGCCTCCCAGGTAGCTAGTACTACAGTGCCACTAATTATAGCCCACTACTTTTTTTTTTTCTTTTTTCTGGATAGAGACAAGAGTCTCACTATGTTGCCCAGGCTGGTTTTGAACTCCTGGCCTTATGTAATCCTCCCGCTTCAGCTTCCCAAAGTACTGGGATTATAGGCATGAGCCGTATCACCCAGCCCTAGATTTAAAAAGTTTTTTGATTATACACTAATTACATGTTATATTTATTTTGCTTAAAAGTTTTAATTATTACAAATAAGGCCACCCCAATCCCAATTTTCTGGGTTTTTTTGTTTTATTTGGATAATTGAGGGAAAACTTGTGAATTGTTTATAAAGGAAAGCTTATCAAAAGAACACAAGTGAGCCTACTTTGAACAGTAATAAATTTAAGATCTCAGTATTCTCATCCACTGACTCTGTAGGATAGTCATCCATATCAGCAAGGGCCAGAAATTGCTCTTGCCAAGGTCATCATTGCCAGAGTTGCCAGATCTAGCTGGTTCTATTCAGTCTTTATCTCATTCAACTTTTCAGCTTGGCTCTATGAAGTTAGGTATTTCCTCACTAATCCTGAATTACTCTACAATGCTTTCTTTCTCTCGATACCAGGTAATCCTTTTTCACCTCCCTATTCCTTGTTAGCAGGAGGTTGTATCTATTTCTTCTCTCTTTTTTCTCTCCATATTTGATTTCAGCTTCATATTATGTGACTAAGACTATATGCTGTGTCTGAATCTTAAAGAAAATTTTACCTCTGAAACTTAGTTGTTCTAATCAATCAGCAGTATATGACTTCCAAAGCATTATACTCATGGTTTTAATGGACTGTTTTTCCTCCTCTGGTTTGCTTTGTTTAAGGACTGATGTTCAGACGTTTTCACAATCAAATCTAGAACAGCAGAAGCAAATTTATCTCAGGAGTGTCATTGCTCATATAGAAGACCCAGTGGACTCTAACAAAGGTAACATGGTAACCCAAGAATGGGACATGTGATGGGACTTCTTTCCAGTGTAATGTAGCTTAAACTGGGAGATTTTGAATTTTCTTAAATTGGTGAGAAAGATAACTTCCTTACCTATAGATTTTCACTTCAAGGGATTGCTCCTTACCTATACATTTTCATTTCAAGGGATTGCCTAACTAGATAATCTTTAGTTTGTCTAACCAGTATTATAGAGGGATCTAAGCATATTATACCCGTACATGAAAAGTGCTTACGTATGGTTGAAGGCTGTAACTGAGACCTGTACGTTTTTGCTGGTGATTTTTTTGTTTGAAATATAATAGAAGTGGATGATCAGGTGCTGCTTATTAATCATCATTATTTTTAATTTGAAATTATTTATTTTTCCTGTTGCCATCAACATTTAAATGTAAGAAGCAGACATTATAACACCATCCTGTATTTTGGTTTTTGAATAAAAGCTCTTGAAACATTTGACTTATGTTCCAGATCCTTCAAGCTGCATTCTCCCTACTCCATTAGAAACTGTTGCAAACCCAAGTGGCTAGATTCTTTCTCCAGCCCTCAGGAGACTACAGTCCATGTTATAATTCAGCCTAAACTATTGGCTGATGGGAAAATTCCTAAAGGGAAACTTGTGGGCAGAGCTAAAAGTGCAGAGGTTAGAAAGGTTTTGTAATGATAAAAGAATTCCTTCTTAGAAAGATAACTCCATTTTCTTTCATCTTTAGCTTTCCATATTCATTAAGCAAACTTTCTTGAGTACTTTCAGTTGTGCTAGAATTGAAGATTAGGAATTGGAAACAAAGAGAAATGAGATAGGGCTTTAGCCCTCTGGGAATTCATAGTCTAGAGAAGGAGAAGATAATTACACCACAATATTGATTAGTGCTCTAATAGAATTACATATAAGTGCAGTAGGAGCAGAGAAGGAGCCCTTCTACTTATGCTTGGGAAGAGTGCAAAATGGAGAAGGAGAATACCTTAGGTAGGTTCCACAGAGAAGATAATTAGTTTAATTACTCTAAGATCTACTGTAAATCACTAGGGTGGCTTTTAGAAATTTTGATCCTTCTGCAGAGGAGACTCCTCTTTCTTTTGATAAATTCTGAATTATTTAGTAGTTTTTTCTTGTTTGTTTTATAAGACTATGAGTGAAAGGTTTAGAACCCTGAGACATCAGTCAGAAGAATTTTTATTCCAGATCCTTTTATTTTTTACTCAGGATTTCATTAAGTAGTCAGATATTACTCTTAGTGGTTTCTCAGCCCTCTGTGAGATCCCTTTGCTTGAACTATTTTAGATCTGGCAGAAGTAGCGACACCCTTCCCTGTGTACACCACCTCCTCCCCCAGGTTTTATTAGAGGGGCAGATTTAAAAGAAATTTATCTGTGTTCAAGCTCTGTGGAAGAGGCCTACTCACTGCTTTTCTTTCCATGAGTGAATTTCCCTTTTTTATATCCTAGGGAGTTGACACTGATGATATCAAGTTAAATGTTTGCTTTCTTATTTGGGGCATTTAAAGAAAATTTCTTTAGAAAAGCAAAGAGTGGCTGTTCACATTACAGCATCTTTTCTAACCTCTTCCCCATTCAGCATTTCTTCTCCCAATATTACCACAACAATCCCTTAAGGAACAACTAGAATAACTACTATGATGGAAAGGCAGCATACTTTAGTGATTGGGAAAATAAAGCCTAGTCTAGATATGGGGTTCATATCTTGGCACTACTGCTTACTTGCTAGGTAAGTCATTAAAAGGTCATTTATAAAATGGGGATAATAATGAAGTTAGCTTACGTGAAAGTTATATATGTAAGTACAAGTATATTATGTAGAATAGTACCTAGCTCTAGCAAGTAACATTTATTGAATACTATTATTAGCAAGAAAGTATATCTTTTCATACTGAAGTTATTTTTTATAGGTAAAATCATGTGATATCTGGTGTTTCTTTTTAAATCGCAAAAAAACCCTGGAAAATTAGATGAAACACCTTTGACAAAATGTTGATAAATGAAGCTGAGTGATGAGTACATGAGGGTTCATTATACTGTTCTGTACTTTTGCATATATTTGAAATTTTCCATAATAAAAGGTTGTTTTTTAAAAAGTGCATCTTTAGGGCATTCCTTTTTTGACAGCTAAGGATTTTTTCTTTTTTGAAGGGACAGAGTCTCACTCTGTTGCCCAACTAGAGCACCGTGGCGTCAGCCTAGCTCACAACAACCTCAAACTCCTGGGCTCAAGTGATCCTCTTGCCTCAGCTCCCGAGTAGCTGGGACTACAGGTGTGTACCACCACACCTGGCTAATTTTTACTATTTTTAATAGAGATGGGTTATCACTCTTGCTCAGGCTATCTCAAACTCCTGAGCTCAAGTGATCCTCGCGCCTCGGCCTCCCAGAGTGCTGGGATTATGGGCATGAGCCATCATACTCGGCTGACAGCTAAGGATTTTCAACATCATCAGTTATTCTAAAAATTTCACAGGCCTCTGCCTTTCTTCTGTCTTCCAGAAATTTAGTGTAATGTTAAGTTTTTGCATTACTTCTCATTGCCTGGTATTGATATATCCAAAATGTTAAGATTTTTATATATCATACTGTAAAGGAGAGAGTGTTGTATTCTTCATCTTTCATTTATATGTGAATTACGATACAGCCAGAAGCAAAAAGGTGAGTGTCACTGGGTGCTGTGGCTCCCACCTGTAGTCCTAGCTTTTTGGGAGGCCGAGGCAGGTGGATAGCTGCAGCTCAGCGGTTCTGCACCAGCCTGAGCACAGTGAGACCCCGTCTCTCTCTTAAAAAAAATTTTTGGCCGGGGCACGGGTCTCATGCCTGTAATCCTAGCTCTCTGGGAGGCTGAGGCGGGCGAATTGCTCGAGGCAGGAGTTCGAAACCAGCTGAGCAAGAGTGAGACCCCGTCTTATTATAAATAGAAAGAAATTAATTGGCCAACTAATATATATAGAAAAAATCAGCCGGGCATGGTAGTGCATGCCTGTAGTCCCAGCTACTTGGGAGGCTGAGGCAGGAGGATTGCTTGAGCCCCGGAGTTTGAGGTTGCTGTGAGCTAGGCTGATGCCACGGCACTCACTCTAGCCTGGGCAATAAAGTGAGACTCTGTCTCAAAAAAAAAATTTTAGAAGACCAAAAAAAAATGGGGGGGGCATAGTGCCTTTTATACTCCTTTTTTTTTTGAGATGTTTAGTGTTAATTCACCTTGAAAAAGTGTAATTCCTCAGGTTCTTATTAGAGAAATTAGTAGGGAGTAAATTCAAATGTAGTTCTTGCCGGTTCAGTTTGAATTCTGTCCATTGGGTTAGTCATCTCCTTGCACTTTATCAAAAATGTGTATGTCATTGATATAGGACATAACAAAATAAATCATCCTTCAACTCCCTTATTCTAATATAGGTATCATTTCTTTGGTTTAATGTCACTTGGATTTTTAATAACATTTGCAAAGAAATACCAACCACTTCCTTTCTGGTATCCCAGCAGTGGAAAACTGTGGAATTATAAGTTCTTAGAGTAGAAAGGGACCATTAAGCTCTTCTCTTTAATCTCCTAACACGTAAATCTGTCTATATATCTTTGCCAAGTGACCATTTAGCCTTTGCTTAGAGTTCTAATAATGTAAAACTCATTACCTCATGAGGGTGGGTCATTCATTACTTAGAAAATTCTGATTGTTTATAAAGTCATGCCTTACATTGAGCCAATCTTGGCTTCCCTGTAATTCTTAGTTCTGTCCTCTAGGATCTCAAAAAATAATTTTCTCTCTGTTTCATTTTTAATTATTTCAAATATTAGAAATAATGATCCTGTCTCCTATAAAGAAAAAAATGGAAATCAACTATAAATCCACCCTGCCACCTAAAAATAACAATATTAACATTTAGATGATTATCTTTCTTACAAGGTAGAATATATGCAGGGAAATTACATACTAGTAGTTTGTAATCTGCTTTCTTTTTACTTAATGTATTTTAAGGACCTTTCCATGTTAAATATTTCAAATTAAGATTTTTTAATGATTATGAAGTGTTCTGTTATATAATTTATTCCATCTTGGTTAATTAGGTTATGTCCCTTTTCATTAGTAATGCTTCGGTGAACATTCTGGTCAATAAATATTTATGTGCGACTCTTATTTCTATAGGATGAATCCCTAGAAATGTCATTGCTGGGTAAAGTATATAAATATTTTAAAAACTTTTGTTACATATTACCAGATTGTCCTGCCCAAAGAAATTCTATTAATTTTTATCACCAATTTGATAGGTAAATTTTAATATATGTTGTTGTTGGTTTTTTTTTAGGTTGAATTTGCATCCCAATAATATATGTTGTTTTAATAATTAGTGAGGTTAAACATTTTTATGTTTATTGGCAGTTTATATTTAATCATAATTTTAAAAAGTCATCTAATACCTAGTCAATGTTCCAGTTTCTGTAGTTATCCCCAAAATGTCTTTGTAACTTTGTTCCAATAGCATCTAATCAAGATTCACATGTTTAGTTATTGTCTCCTTAATCTCTTTTAATTTAGGTCACTTATTTTATAGATTATCCCATATTCTGAATTTTTTTTGATTGTTTCCTATGGTGTCATCTAATTTGTTCCTCCATTCTGTATATTTCCTGTAAACTGGAAGTTGGGTCTAGAGACAGGATTAGATTCATCTTAAGAATTTTTGGCAGGAATAATTCATAGGTACTATTGTATATTCATCGTGTATCAGATTAGGAGGCATATATGAGACCTAATGATGTGTTGTTCCACTAATAGTGTTACTAAATTTGTTAAGGTTTTAACTGCCATATTTTTCCATTGTAAGGTACATCTTCCTCTTTGTAATTGGTAAATCATCTGTGGGGTGATCCTTTGGTACCATGTGAATATCCTGTTCCCCAACAACTAACTCCTTATATGTTTTCTTATTTTTTTTTATAGAGATATATTGCCCAGGCTGGTCTTGAACTCCTGG